GGATGCAGTAGAAGTGTGAGATGTTATTGCGGTAAGTCAAATGGTCAAAAGAGTTTCTGATGACAGCGCTCCGAGTACCAAAACCAAATTTAAAGGCAGCGATTGCATTAGGTTCCATAAGGGTTAAGAGGACAAGCGGTGGTGCTCAGTGGTACGCCAGTGACGAAAAACAATGAAACTCGTCAGAAAGCGTCAAATGATACCCCCTCCTCCCTCTTTTCTTGACGAAAGCGGACGTATGAACGAGATCGCAACGCATTCGGTGGCACCATGCCAAACCACGCTCCAATCGAGTTGCTCCAGCTGGCAACGCAGCTCGTCCAAATCACCAACTAAACTAGTGGGCGGATCGCTTTTGGGGGCGGAGTGCTTTCGAAGTCCTGCTCAGCAACCAGCGCACCTTTCGTCGTGAAAGCGCCACACCTCGCTTCCTTGGCAGCCAAGTAACTGCTTCGTGTGGTGCATATGCTTCCCCGATGCGCTCCCTCTTTATCGTAATCGCTTCCTTTAGGCTTGGCAGCATTTGTGACAGATGTCCTGCGGGAATTTGAACGCGTAACGGTCGTCCCGGTTTTTTTTTCGTTTTTTTGTTCGTTTTTCGAAATTCACCACAAGGTCGTGCTCCGCCTCTTTTGGAGCGTTCTCGAGTAAACCACTAGAGACATGTCAATCATTATAGCTATGAATTCACTCAAGTGTAGGGAGATCAACGGCAGAGACTCACGGTGAAACCCCAACAAATGTCGTTAAAACTCGAAAAAGTGTGTACGCTCCACGACACCCGAGGCCACACATTTCGAAAATGAAGCGATTCTGAATATCGAAGCCCAGCTGAAAAGTCCTACCACATTCATCGTGCAGCGGTAGTCATCCTCTTTCGAAAGACATCTGCCCTTTCTGCTCAGCCGCCTTCTTGCCGACAAAAAATACGATTCCCACGAGCACCTCAAAATCGACCTCACTGCCTTTTTCAGCTCATAACTGCCAGCCCTTTGAGAGTTAAGTTGCCAATCTTTGGTTGGATGTTGGTAACAAGTCACTGATAGTGGTGGTACATATAATGATGATAGGTTGCACATGTGCTTGGAAAGTGAGTAGGCTCAAAAATAAGTTCAAAATACGCACGAACTTTGAGACAACCTAATACTTGTCCATACAACATTGTTACCATAGAGGTTTCCTGAGTATCAAATTTCTTCGCTTCACGAAAAAGCATTAGTCTATAATTGGCAGGAAATAGGAAGCAAAATGATTGTTACTTTGCTATGATCTGCTGCATGCATGCAGTAGGCTACTGCCGAATATGGCGGTGATACGAATATGGTGTACGATTGTAGTGGCAGTAGCTTGATTAGCGCTAGATTTGCTGCAAGTATTCTCAAAGATCAAGCCATCAGAATCGTTGCCTATTTTATATTATAGTTTTACGGTAGGGATCATTGCACGCTCAAAGTAGCCCATTCAGAAATCGATCGTTGACACTTTGAGAAGAATTCATTATACAAGGTATGAGCGTCGAGTATTTGGGGGCTTCAGAAGAGGCGCTCGCCTGGACTACAGTCTGGGTTTAATTTTTTTTGTTTAATTCAGTTTCAATTTCAGATCAATTCAGGTTTTCATCAGAAAAAGAACCACGGTTTTGCTATTCAGATCTGCCCTTATCTGGTTGGCACCATCTCAATCTTGCTAAAAAATTCGACTTGCCACCGTTAGAAGACAAAATGCCAAGAGTTGACGGCAGCACCTTATCAGTGGAGGAATTTCGCGAAAAGTATGAGCAACCTCGCATACCCTGCATGATCACCGGTCTCACGGAGACATGGGCAGCTCACGAAAATTGGAAGATTGATGTGATCCCTTGCAGTTTCTCTGAAGTAGCAATATTCGTACATCAATTCTCTGCTTCAGAAACTTCTCGAAAAGTATGCAAATGCCACGTTCAAATGTGGTGAAAGTCCAAACGCCAAACCAGTCTACATGAAGTTCAAGTACTATGCTGAGTACATGCGCAAAAATAAAGACGACAGCCCATTGTACATATTTGATGGAAAATTCGGAAGAGTATGATGTTTTACAATTTTGTTTTATATATGCCTTACAACTTTGTAAGATTTTATCAGCAGGCGCCTAACGCTATTGTGTGCGCAACACGGTTCTGCGGCGAAACGGAATGGTGGGCATGAATTCTCCGATATGGCCCGGTTCGCTATAAATATTTGGCTACTAACTGGGGCATGGGACACGCAGCTAGATTATAACCGCGTGTTCCATGCCCGATCCACCAATGGCTTTTGACCTTCCCTCCTTCGTCAACCGATTGTCCGCTTTTTCCCGGTCTCGGACTGCCTCTGGACCGATTTATAAATCTCGTGGTAAACTCCGCCTATTTCGTTGCATGTCCCACCTATCTTTTCTTCCTCGCAACCTCTTCCCACTTTTTCCACGGTCTCTGAAGTGTCTCTGAGCCGATTGATGTTTGGTGGCAAACCCCGCCTTTTTCGATGCATGCTCCACACACCACTGGAAATTTACTTCCTCCCCTTCGCCCACATTTTTTCCCGATTTTCGGAGCTTCGTGAAACTGATGGTGAGTTATAAGTTCGGCAAGAAACTCCGCCACATTGTTTGCTCCTTTCCTTACCGACCTCTACCTCCTATTCTCCCAATTCTCTGGAACCGAGGCATATCTTTGGAAACAGATCCCGCCGTGTAATCCTCACCCACCAATTGCAGTTGGCCTCCTGTCCTTCGCTAACCTATACACCCTTTTCCACCGGTCTCTGGAACTCCTTGGAACCGTTACTGTAGAGTTTGGTGGCAAACTCCTGCCCACTCTGGTGCGCGTCCCAATATATTGACTTCCTTCGCTTCGTCAACCTTATTTAAATTTTCTGCCCTGTTCCCAAATCTTTCTGGAACCACATTAAGTCTGGCAACAATCTCCGTCCAATCCCACCCACCTATACACGTTGATCTTCCGCAGACAAACTCTAAAGCCTTTTTCAGTCTCCGAAACCTCTTGGAACAGGATTATGAGGTCTGGCGGCAAACCCCGCCTACTTTGTTGCATGCCCCGCCCACCGATATATTGGCTTCCTTTCCTTCGTCAACCTCAATAGACCTTTTTCGCCGGTCTCCGGAACTTCCTGGAACCACTATATAAGTCCGCCATTGTTGGTGCATACCCACCCATCAATACAAACTACTTCCTTCCTCTCACCGGCCTCTGTCTACTTTTTCCCGGTTTTCAGGACCACTTGGAACTGAATTGTAAGTCTCGCAACAAACTGCGCCCACTTTGGTGCATGTCCCGCCCACCAATAATGGTTCACCTCCTCTTCATTCATCAACCTCAATACACTTTTTCCCAGTCTTCATGACATCCTGAACCGAGTTTACATGTTTTATGGGTAAATTCGCCCACTTCTCTGCATGCCTCGGCCACCATCAGCAGCTAACCTTGCTTTCACCACACACCCTATCCTTTTTTTCCAGTCTGCAGGAATTTTTAGAACCGAGTTACGGACTTGGTAGCAAACTCACCCACTTTTGTGCAAGCCGCGCCCAAGATCAAAAATTAGCCTTCTTTCCTCCTCTCTATACACCTTTTTCCCGCTTTCTAAGGCCTCTCGGAACCGAATTAAGGGGACTTGTAGGAAACGCTGCGCACTCCAGGGCACGCTCCGCTTACTGTGAGCGGACGCCCACACCATATGTGCTGGGAACGCCTTAGCCACTAGTTGCCGACCTAAATTTTTTTTCTCTGTAAGCTTTCCCTAAACCGAGTCGTGTATTTTTCCTGAAGCACTGCTTTTAATGAGAACGCCGAAATGCTCGCCGAGGGTGGGTCTCTCTGAATCGTTCTGGCATACCAATGTTTGGACACCTACTTCCGACAGTTTTGGTTTTCGTTTAACAGTCGCGAAGGCCACATCCAAATTTCTTGTCTTCCTACTCTGCAGACTCAAAACCGGGTAAAGCAATTATCAATTTACCCAATCCGAAACAAATGGTGAGCTTCGCTTTGTGAAAGTGGCTTGATTTCCAATCCAAGGGATACTTGCCAATGCTATATAGTATATAAACTCCTCCCGGCTCAAAAAAGTACCAGTTCTGTCATAGGTCGTGTATTTCCACGGCTCAAAATTGTTCGATTTTGTCACTGTCGTTATTCATTGCACCTCTTTCAAGCACAATCACCACAAAAAAACCTAGTCTTAGATGTACAACTAACCAAAATACCCATCATTTGTAAAAAAGTTTAATAGAGCTATTCAGCGACATGCTACAATGGACATGGTGAACGACTATGAAGTTCCTCCTTACTTTCGAGGCAACCTTTTCGGAGCTTTTGGTTCTTACAAAAGAAAGCCTTTGTTCAGGTGAGAGGAAAAGCGTGTTGTGTTTGTGTAATCAAGCAAGTCTCACATATCGGAATATCTCAACATGGGTTGGAGTCATCAACCCATGTTGAGATATTCCGAACTATTCTCATTTCTCTAAAAAGCCAGTCCATTGGATAATTATGCGTGTTGGTAAGAAGCAATTTTCGCTCTTTTGGGTAATACAAACAAGAGGCATCAAGTTGAACACACAAAACTATAACCTTGGTGATAATCAATCAATAAAAGTTATCTGCAGAAGTGTTAAGCGGAAACTCAATCAAGAAGATATATAATGATAATGAGAGAATTTAGATTATCACCCACCTCTGCAGTGTACGTCAAAAAGGTTTTTGCCTCGATTATTCAAGTACGAATAGTTTGTACATATCATGCTGTCCATAGAATTCCGTAATAACTGCTAGTCCATTCTACCTTCCCTTTTATTCAAAAGTCAAATGACATAGGGGCAAAGGCGACAGATTTGTGTTGAAAATATCATAAGACTGAAACAATTTTGATAAACTGACGTATTGACGTCTTTTCTTCAAATCACATCGCTTATACTTACTTCAAGGTATGATCAATAGAATAAATGTTCTCAACATTACAGATGGATTGTGATTGGGCCAGCTCGTTCGGGGACCAACATCCATATTGATCCTCATTGGAACAAGCGTCCTGGAATGCTCTGATTCATGGTCATAAACGGTAGAAATTCTTTATTAGAAATTTCCCTTGCTATGCAGTATCTTGTGCCATAATTCACTTTTTCAGATGGGTCTTCATTCATCCGGATGCACCGCGCGATCTTGTGCGAATTCCGAAAGACCAACGTGGTATCCACGCAAAAGCCGTTCAGCATTGTTTTCTAACCAGTATAAATACTATTGCTGTGACGTAAGTACTGGCCGTTCGACAAATATCGCGGTGATAAATCAGACAAACCCTGGCGAAACTGTAATTCGTCCAATGGTGAGTCGAAGAGGTGCAAGCTGGTCGTATCTCATGTTTGAATTCTTCGATTCTCTTATTCTATACTCCTTACCATTACTAAAATTCCCCGACACGTGCAGAGCCACCCATTTCACATATCACATCCTACCATCTAATCCATGCGCACTTCTGCCAGCCATTGATATCAGCTGAATCCTCGAAGACGCTACTCTACTTCCTCAAGACCCCATCGGCTTCTCCCTATATGCTTGGCCCTGTACTCAACTCGGTATACTTAAAGGGCACTTCGTTTCTAAGCATTATAGACAACTGCAATGATCTATCAAAACCCTTTAGTGCGGAAGCATAAGGCAGTTTGCATGACAGGCCCGTCGCCACTCATTTTTGTGACCATTTTTTGCAGTGTTTATACTGGGTTCCCAATGAAATAGCAATGCAATAAGTGTCACTGGAGACGTGGTGACTTTTGCCCCAGTTTCGCCGTGCGAATTATCGTGGTGGTGTGCAGCTTCATGGCAGCGTTCAGTGCGCTTTGAAAAGCAGGCCTTTAGTGTATCGTATAACTTCGTATAATGTATCTGCGTAATAACTTCGTATAGCATACATTATACGAAGTTATACGAGCTCCAACTTTACGACTTTAAGAATAACCTCGTTTCGTCAATAGGATCGCTAGACATATAAAACGTAAAGTGTGGAATGAGTAGCACCCTGTGAATTTTGCGAACTTCTAGACTTCTCAGAGAATGCGATACATTCTCATCCATCATTACTGAAACCACTGATCATTTTCTATAAAAACTGTCCTAATTTCAAACTCTCCCGCAGTAGTGCATCTTTAACTCTCCGACACCACCCTTCCAGCATCAAACGCGTTTGGCGCGCTTGAGGCCATTGATTAATGACGAGTTAAATTGTTCGCGACTTCGACGTGGTCAAATTGGCTGGTAACTACTCATAGCTACACCCAGATGGTTCGCCGGAAATGGAGAAATCTTTTTGCTGAGTAGGAATAAGCTTACACTAAAGATCGCAAGGTGTCCGCTCTTCGATCTGAGTGCACAAAAAGTGCGACGCTAGATCACTAAAAGTTCCGCTCAAATCGCGTTCCATTTTTCCTCGTCCGCAGCAACGCCTTGCTTCCGTTGCTTCAGCGCAAAAGTGAGCAAGCTCTCAATTTGCTCGTTTCTGATTCTTTTTCATTATTATTGAGATGTCGGTCAGACTCTGCGATGCATCGCGCGATGCAGTCGCTCTGCCTAGAGCGATTGGCATCGCTCCAAAGTGCGAGGCGACGGTAGATCTACCCGGGCCGACCCCCCGAAAGACACGGCACCGTTCGGGTAAATGTCCCGTCGCAGCGATGCTAATCGCTCTAACGATACAGAGCGACGCATCGTCGCGATGCAATCGCAAGGAGTCTGACGCGACTCGTGCATGCGCCCACATTCGGCCACAATACTTCCATTTTCTTGTGCAATAAATGCGTCGGTGTTATCATGGAGCACTCCTATGAGCTCTTTCCAATCACAACTGATGATCAGCAAAGAAAAGCTTCCACTTACTTCACTCAATACAGTTAAGACAGCTGTCATTGCTCTGAAATGTGTTTGCAGTGTCATGAACTTTTATTGTTTTTGAATATTTTTGTAATGACGTCAATAGGACATATTTTTGGCAGGATGGTGGCACGTGGTTATCAATGAAGACGACACGGTGGCTGTAACACAAAATTTCTGCTCAATCACCAACCTCATCTACGTGTATCCCACACTCGTCAAGCAAAAACCGCGCCTGGCTCAATATTTTATGAAAGGTACTATTGGGTTCTGATATAACTGATTAATTTTCAATTCAAAAATTGCCCTCAGTTTCTAATGCTTCCACTACACATGCGAGACGTGCAATCCATAGTGCCTGTCCCTACTTTTATTCGACCGCCGATAGCTAATTCTTGGCAGCACTTATGTAATGAGCTCTCGGATCAGGTTGATTCAACGACTTTCGACAGGGGTCGTAATAGTAGTTGACTGCTATTACACAAACGTCCTGGACGTCCTAGAGCGATCTAAAAGCCAAGGCTTAAAGTGACAGGAAAGACGTCGGTGTTGCCTTGCTTCTACGTAGTCAACAGCCCCTTGGTAAGTACTCGAGTGAAGCTATAGGTACAGGTACAGTAGTTGGCCAGTAGGTGAAAGTCCAGAAATAATCTTGGAAAAATGCGGCATAGATAGGAGCTAAATATCATAGAAGTAGTTATAAAGTAACTGCGTGCATTGCCATGACTATCGAAGTACTTTTGAAGGTTGGCTGAAAAACATCCTGAACTGCTCGACATAATCAATAAGGCTATGTTGGACCCGAAACCTATAGCGAACGGATACGATACATCTGATGAACAGTGGGAAGTGAGGAAGACGAAGATGACGACAGTGACGACACCATATCTTTGTATAGCACCGACGTGTCTTGTGCGGAAAGGTCAGTGTTTTCACTGTAGTAGCCTTACAGACTAGAGATAAGAAAAATAATAGAAAAGAGACGAAATCTGTCTACTGCCAATCACGGTGAATATCGGTTGAGGAAATCCTCGACGGGGGGTCGTATTTGTCAGGTGGGTCATGGGGGGTCGTACTCGTGGGGGTCAGTAACGTCAGTGGCATCGTGGTGCAGATAGGAGGGAGGGTGTAGCGCAGCAGAAAACAAGGATATGTGAGAAAACATGATATAAAATATTCTTTGCAGGTTCAGTCGCTCCGTCCCTCTACCTTCGAGAAGGAAGTATTTGAAAGTACTACAAAGAATGAAAGTGCATCTTTGCAAGGAACAGGGTCACATGTGCACACGCGCTGCGCATTTCCTCTATCTACCGCCCGCTCCCTCGCCCTCAATACCTCGTTGAGAATGACACTGTTGTTAGGGACGCTGTCGCAAAAACGACCACTATACATAGTTCTTCAAAAACCCTGTGCAAATGAACCTGTTCCTCAAGTTGCAGGAGTTACAAAATGTGTGAAATGGGTTGGGGTGATCGAACCCTTTGTTTGTGTGTAGTGCCACGCGGGCTTGTAGTTTGCAACCTCAAACTCAAACTTGGGTAATTAAACGTTTACTAA